AGCTTCAGAGGCACCTGGATGACAAGATAATCGAGCCAGTGCAGGTTCCAGAGTGAGCGGCGCGCATAGACGCAGCGGCTCAACAGCTCTCCGTATTAGTGCTTTTTTTTATGTTTATCTTTTGTGTTTATCGTATATTGTTCGTTCGTTTACACACATTATGAAACAATACAGCCGTCTGGACTTACTGGACATCGGTTTCCAATTGAAGATGACCATCTCCGGCGACTTTCACCGAACTCACAACATTCCGGACGAAATAGCGAGACCAGCGGGATCCCCGTGGATTGTTATTGGGTCTGGCAGGCGACGCAGACGGAGATGTGAGAGGAAAAAAAAAATGAGGTTGCAGGGCTGGGCTACTGCTAAAACTAAGAAAACAGCCACTCAAACCTCCGTTGCCGAGCCTCTACCTTACAAACGCCAGATCCATTGTACACAAAACGGACGATTTGGAATAACAGTTGGCTGGTAACCGTTATGTTCGCGATTGCTGTGTGCTTATCATCACAGAGACATGGCTACACACACAAGTCCCTGATGCCACGGTGCAACTAGTAGACCACACACGACACAGATGGGAGAGGAACAGTGACTCCGGGAAGAACAGAGGAGGCGGGCTCTGCATCTACGTGCATGATGGCTGGTGTAACAACAGCACTGTCTTGGACAGACACTGTTCTCCTGATCTGGAATTTATGTCGATGAGATGCAGACCCTTCTTTCTGCCTAGAGAGCTAGCTGCTGTTGTCATCACTGCAGTCTACATACCACCACACGCTAATGTAAACATGGCTCTCTCTCTACTGCTAAATGCCATCAATACCCACCAGCGCGCCCACCCCAGTGGAGTCCACATCATTGCAGGGGACTTCAATAAGGCAAATCTCAAGACTGTACTACCAAAATTCCACCAATATGTAAAATGCCCTACAAGAGGGGAAAACACTCTGGATCATGTGTATTCCAACATCAAGCATGCGTACAGAGCTGTACCCCTTCCCCACCTGGGCCAGTCAGACCACCTCTCCCTGCTCCTCACTCCAGCATACACCCCTCTCAGCCGACAAACAAAGCCCACAAAGAAGACCATCACCACCTGGCCTGAGGACGCCCTCCCCCAACTACAGGACTGCTTCGAAAATACACAGTGGGAAGCCTTCTATCACGAAGACCTGGAAATATTCACAGATGCAGTACTGTCATACATCAAGTACTGTATTGGGAATGTCACAGTTGAAAAGAGCATCTGGGTGTTCCCAAACCAGAAACCCTGGATGACGCGCCAGGTCCGTATGCTCCTCCGGGCCCGTGACTCAGCCTTCAGGTCAGGCAACAGAGCATTGTACAGCGCCGCTCGTGCCAACTTGAAGAGAGGCATTAGGACTGCCAAAGGTGAATATAAGAGGAGGATAGAGGAACATCTAAACAACCCCAGGCAAGTGTGGCAGGGCATACAGACCATCACCAACTACAAAGGCTGTGCTGTGACACACCCGGGAACTTGGATGCGGGACTGGCAGAGGAGATGAACAGCTTCTTTGCCCGCTTTGAGTCTCATACACAGCATCCAACCTCATCACTCCAACAACCACCACAACCCCCACCAGCCCCCCAGCACACCTCCTCCCCCCCACTTACTCTTAAGGCACAGGACGTGTGGCGGGTGCTCTGTGCAGTGAACCCCAGGAAGGCTGCAGGTCCAGATGGAGTACCTGGGAAGGTGCTCAAGGCATGTGCTTGGCAGTTATCACAGGTCTTCACAGACATATTCAACATATCTCTGCAACAAGCTGTCATCCCACCCTGCTTGAAGTCTGCTATAATCATCCCGATCCCTAAAAAGTCACCCACGACCAGCCTCAATGACTTCCGCCCCATTGCACTCACTCCAGTCATCACCAAATGCCTAGAGAAACTGGTTTTGAGACACATAAAAGCCTGTCTCCCCCCCACCCTGGATCAGCACCAGTTTGCATACCGGACTAACAGATCCACCGAAGACACCATAGCCATCGCTCTCCACTCAGCGCTGGGTCACCTGGAGCAACGGGAGAGCTACATCAGTGACTTTAGCTCAGCTTTTAACACAATAATACCGGACATTCTGATCCCTAAGCTAACCGACCTGGGGGTCCCACCACCCACCTGCTCCTGGATAAAGAACTTTTTGGTCAACCGACCCCAGCAGGTGAAACTGGGTCCTCACCTCTCTTCTTCCCGCACTCTCAGCACTGGCTCTCCACAGGGCTGCGTGCTGAGCCCATTACTCTACTCCCTCTACACATCCGACTGCAGTCCCGCCCACCCAGAGAACATCATCATCAAGTTCGCTGATGACACAACGGTGGCCAGTATCTCTGCATGTGTGTTTCAGGCCAGCAGTGTAGGTGTACTTCACTGACAGCTGGATAAATGAGAAACAACATTGACCAGGTCCAAATCCAATCATGAACCAGTTGGTGTGACTTTCTGTTACCTGTGTGAAACACTCAGCTGTCAGGAAAAAGTTGTTGGGGACTCAGACTGGGAACCCTCTTGCTGTGAGGCAACAGTGCTGACCACCACACCGTCATGCCACCATAATTTTTTTTTTTTTAAATACAAACTTTTAAAAATTCTAACCTGAGTGTGCAGAGGGCAAAGATTTTGTGATGTCAGCCTGGGGTTTCTGAAAGTAAATGAATCTGGTCTGACTCTCTGTGAAAGTCCTTTTACAATCAACACATAGTGACTTTATGGCCTTATCCATTAAGCCACATTGTCCCACATACATAGGCTCAGCTGTAATAATCTATCCCTGATCCTGCTCCAGAGTGTGTAGAAAATACAGAAGACACTCTGAATAGGGTGGTAGAGTTATCTGGTCTGAGTCCCTTGTGGATTCTTAATAGTAGCACGAGTTTCATGGTCAGCAGATGTTTGGGCCGGCCAAGGACTGGCTAGACTAAACATATACTATGATGACTAGGGTCATTTTCTGTACAGAGTAAAGGATGATGTCATTTGGAAGACACACCTCATTTTCACATAACACAAAACAGTCTGTGGCAATAGCGTTAGCTTAGCATAATGAATTTAAGTGAATGGAAACATTAGCCCACTCTGTCCCACACTAACAAACTACAGAAACCCCAAGCTGTCCTGTTTCCAGGTATGTCTGAAATAAACATCATCATATGAGGACTATTTCATAGGAGTCATTTTAGGGGAAATCACAGCTTTTGTAAGGAATATAACACCACCATGTGATATCTAGCCTCCGTTTGAGTTTCATGACTGTCATTGTAAACTAACTACACCATATCCATTATTTTTTCAGGGACAGGCCAATAGTGAGAGAAAGATGAGAAGGGTTTTTCAGTCTGAAAAACAAGAAGAAAGTATTGTCAAAGTAGGAAATATCTTCAAATGCAGGTGTCACTGAATCCTGAATCCTTCACACAAGCTTACACAGCAGCTCTGCTATTATTAGGCTGGACTATTGTGTTATTACTTATCACTATTTTTATAACTATTTGGCCAATGCCAAATGATTGATTTTTTAATAACTATGTGGTTGTCCATGTTGTTGTTTTTCATCTCTTTCATGGAGCCCTGGTCCTAGCTAAATGTTGTTGTGTCACATCCCAAGGTCATCCCTATTGAAACGGTTTTATTATGTTATTGGACTCAATACCGCCTGTTCAGTCTTCCTGTTTACTCTGAATTAAGTTTGTATGATGAACGTTAATGAGTTTCAAATTAAATCTGTCTCACTTTCAGCTGTTATTTCTCAATCTACACTCAGGAACAAATGGATTTGTCTGAGTAAAAGTGAACATCAAACACTTTGACCAGCTTGCTGTGACCACCACACAGAGTACTGACCACTACACAGAGTACTGACCACCACACAGAGTACTGACCACCACACAGAGTACTGACCACTCCACCATCACAGCCTCTGGCTCACTTCTGTTGTGTCTGCAATTAAGAGGCTGCTAAAGGCAGTGCTGGGAAAACTGGAACATCTGATGGACAGAAAGATTTTCTGTTTGAATCCAGCAGCTAAGTGAACACAGGAGGAGGTGAAGTGAATGAGCTTTCTTTGAGAACAATGGATGTTTTTTAGGTAATGTGCATCATAACTCAGTCCATGAAGCTAGGTCTCAGAGGAAGTCTTCTCATACTTTATCTCTTAATGTTTTGTCTTGAGGACTGTTTGGTACAGGTGCAGGTTTCTCTGTGATGGAGACAGACTAATCCATGTAGGTTCCACTGAGATGTGATAACAGATGTGTGTTTTGACTGTTACTGTGTGATGTCATTGTGGCCTTTGTCATGTCAGCCTTTTGTTAGAATTTGACTGTAATTACTCACTTTAGCATTGTATGCTATCACATTATGTTTTGTAAATTACTGATTGTTTTATTTCCTAATAGAACTTTATTTTCTTGTTGAAGTCTGGCTGTGTCCACATACTCTTCCTTTCTCTCTTTTCTTTTCTCTGTTGCATTAGATCCACCTTTAGGTCAACACAAACACACGCCATTTGTTACCACATTCCAATTACATCTGCATAAATTAGGACCTGGCCTGTTCATGACCCGAGGTAACTAGCCAATAAGAACTGGTTGTGTCCAGTCCTCCTTTGAAGATGCCGATGGAACCCAGGAGATAATGCCCATCACACCCAGATCTCAGGGCTCTTTGCAGACTGAGACCCAGAGAGAGGTTTTTGTCTGTAAAGAGCCCAGCTGATATACTTTGCCTGTGACCCAATAAATGTCATTTTTATACTTTTGATCTACTCTGGTTTATTCTCAGGTTTCCAAATAAAGAATCGGACTAACACTTTGATGTTATGCTTAACAATAAATGGTAATAGTAAGTGGTTAAATGTCCCATTACTCCTCTTTATGAGCTGGGGAGGGTGTGTAAGAATGGAATGAAAATAATTTGTTGGTTGATTGAGCATATTTGACAGCTTGAGTGGGCTCCTGTAAAACACTTTTTATTTTAAAACCAGTTCCACTGAGATTTGAATTCGGATTGCTGGATTGGACATTTGGCTGGTGTTTGTTGCTCATCTAAGACCCAAGAAGAACAGCTCATCTTCAGCCAACCTAACACCAGTGTTCCCCCTGAAAGATGGAGAGAATAAACCAGTGACAGTGATCATCCTTTTTAAGGTAAAACATGTCCAACTGAGGAGGAAGTTTATATTAAAGCATCTGGCCACAGGAGACATTTTCACCTCAGTGAGTTGGCACAAGGTCGGACTTTTCTTGAAGTGAAGAAGACACTTCACACTCAGTTTATCAAGACATTTGTGTTGTGGTTCAGGACACTTGTGAGAAAAGCAGATTTTATGAATGACGGTAGGCTGAAGATGTTCAAAGCTTTTTTTCATTCAAGTTGTACACAATCAAAACTATTTAGCCAGTATGGGGCTTGAACCCATGACTTCGGCATTATTAGCACCACGCTCTGACCAGCTGTGCTAACTGGCCTGTTTCACCAACCTAAATTAAAGCTTCTGGTTCAATATTAGATCTATATAACAAGAAAGTGTTGTTCTGGGAGTGTTGAAGACGGTAGTTTGACAAGGAGTGCTAACAAAGTACAATGTTCCCATCTACTGTCTGCAAAAGGACAGGATCTTTAGATTTTCAGTCTAACGCTCTCCCACTTGACTAGAAATTACCTGAAATTAAACCTTTTTGTACATGCAATGTACTCCCAGCTGAGCTATTTCCATCTATTTTAAGCCTGTTACCAATATCAACGTATTCTACAGTATAGCATAGAGGCAGGATGGTGATAAATGCTCTCCTGGTAGAGGGTTGTTACTCAATAAAAGCTGAAGGGTTCCAATGTGTAAAGGTCATCACACTGAATCCAGAAATCTGAGTTCAAGTCTCACTGGAACTGGTTTTAAAATAAAAAGTGCTTTACAGGAGCCAACTCAAAAAGCTGTCCATTATGCTCAGTCAACCAATGATTTTTTTCGTACATTCTTACACACCCTCCCAACGAGATGTGCCCCATATTTTGAGAACCAACTGTTGAGATGTAAATAGCATACATGCAGCAGGGAAAAATCTTGGAGTTTTCAGCTAACAGAGGATGGTTCTGGGTTATGGGCCCAGCATGCTTTCATTGCAGGGCTAGAAGGGATGAATTGTTATGTATGTGAAAAACCTCATGTCAAATAATAAATAATGTTCAGGAAGTATACCAATACTTTAAAGGAAAACTGCACTACTTTTTGTTATTGAGCTAAATGTTAGCATACCAAGGGCTACGGGTTAAATGCACCGTCGGTGATTGATATGTGTGTTTTAAATTCACACTTGAACAGTAAAGAAGGTGTTCACTGTATCTGGTGATTTAATGTATTGCTGTTAAACTTGGAGCTTGGTGTTTCATGTGATCCACAGCAGGCATCCAGGTCCAGACTGAGACCTGTTCCATATGTTTTTCCAAAGTTTCGCTTAACATTAACGGTAGCATAAGGCTTTCAGATTAGCATTTAGTTGTTGTGTGT